TATGTTCATTCATATTATCATGTTTATCTATACTATCATGTTCGTTTAAACTACTATATTTGTGCCCATTACCATATTCGTGCCCAATACTATATTTGTGCTCACTACTATATTTATCTCTAATATCATATTTGTGCTCACTACCATATTCGTGCCCACTACTATATTCATGCCCACTATCATATTCGTGCCTGATACCATATTCGTGACTAATACCATATTCGTGACCACTATCATATCAATATTCATTCCCAATACTGTATTCGTTCCCAACACCATATTCATATTCAAAACTATATTTATATCCACTATTATATTCGTGCCTATTACTGAGTTTGTCATCATTAACCATAATATTAAAGACTATCACTTCATTACTACAACTCATCTTGATATGTTTATAAGGTTAAACAATACTAACACAATGCTCTATTTAGGTTTTTTGTTTTTCTGTCTTCTAACCTTTCTTGTCAATGTTTTTTATGCTTTACAAGTAATCTTTATTAGGTAATTATCACGAGTAAATAAAACTGATCAATGTTCTTTATTTGTATACAAACAAGACAAATAGTCTGTTGTTTCACTTTCACATGTACAGTTTAAATAAATCGATAAAGTTTTATTTGATGTTTGTTTGTTCTCAAACAAAGAAAAATTGATCACATTTACAATCGAACCTCTACTTATTTGCTCTGATTATTATGCGATGGCTATTACGCACAGATCACCAATATATCAGTAAAAAAGACTATCAGTACAATATTATGGTCTTAATTAAATAATATGTATATATTTTTTCATATAACACAGTACATTTAGTATACATAGTGCCATGGCATTATAGCGCTATGAAAGTATTTCCATTTAATATAATTAAAATTAATATTATTAAAATTTTAAAAATATTTAATATTATAAAATACATATTATATAAAAATATTATTTTAATATTATAAAAATATTATACTATAGTAATCTTATATTAATATTATAAAATATTATATTTATATTATATTTATATTATAAAAATATAATATTAATATTGTAATAATAAAAAAATTATTTTTTACAGTTTTTAAATTAATTAATTATATTTTTTTATAAAACAAAATTTAAATAAAGATATTTTAATAATTATTAAATAAAATTTAATAAATTTTTATTTATTTTAATTTTATAAAATTATAAAATTTAAATAATAAAAATTTATTAAATTTAACTTAATAATTATTAAAATATTTATTTTTAAAATTTAAAAAATTTAAAATATTATTAAAACAAAATATACAATTTTTTTTAAAATTTAAACAAAGATATTTTAATAATCATTAAGTTAAATTTAATAAATTTTTTTATTTAAATTTTATAATTCTATAAAATTCTAATAAAAAAATATTTATTTTTTTTATTTTATTTTTTTAATTTTAAGGGCAATCTCGCCTGTGTGTCTTTTTATTAGTAGTAGTATAAGATTACATATTATATATAGAGTATATCAATGAAAGTACAACTAGTCATATATATAACTTTAGTCATTATCTAATTAAGGGTTTCACCCATAGGTTACCCACTAGATGCCATACCTGAGACTCGCCTGTGAGTCTTCTATTTAAACTTTCTGATTTTTAACACTTAACTGCATATATATACAATGTATATCACTATGTTTATAACAGAACAGGTTAGAGCTATCTAATTACTATTTATATCTAAGTTCCACCTCATTGGATGTTACTAAGTATCCATAGTCCTTTCGAATTTACCCTCGATGCAAACTTACTAAGTATGATACTAAGATTACTCCTTAGATTTATTCAATTTTAATATATCCTGTATTTACTAAAACCAGTTTGATGCCAAAAGTGTTTGAATTTCAGTAAGTTCATTCCTTTTTTATAGTTTCTTTTTATATTCATTGTATTACCTGCTAGTATGCCTTCTCTCTATTTCTGATATGTTCACTGCTTCTTTCACATCAAGTGCCAACTCTTCATATCAGAAATCTTTTTTTTAGGAACTTCCTTATATATTGATCTTCTAATCACATGAACTTAGCCACAGAGCTTTGCGTATCTTCATATGCTTTTGTAGATTACAGAGTTGCCTCCAGCTGGAATTGAACTGTCGACCTTGTCTGTGGAGAGAGGGGCACCTAGACCACTAAGCTATGGGACCCCATTCCTATAAAAAAAAAAAATATATTTATTAAAATTAGTTTAATAATTATTAAAATATTTTTATTTAAAGTTTTAAAAACTTAAAATATTTATTAAAATAAAAATTATTAAAATTTTTTTAAACTTTAAGTAAAAGTATTTTAAAAATTATTAAATTAAATTTAAATTTTTTTAAAATTTATTATAAATTTCTAAAATTTAAATAAAAAATATATTAAATTTTTAAATAATGTAAAATACATCTATAGGTTTAATATTATATATTATACAAAAAATAAATAATAAATTTTATTTTATTTTTATTTTTTATATTTATTTTATTTTTATTTTTATTTATACAATATTATAGTAGAAACTTTAAAATACAGTAAGAAATTTGATTACAGAAAAAAATTTCTAAAATAAAGATTTCTAAACTACATTCATGTTGCTAAAAAAATAAACACCCAATATGATATTACATCTTCTATTTTCTAATAAGTACTATAAATAATTGGTTTAAATTATTTTCTAGCTAGGATAGATTGGAAGAAACCTTTTTTTTATATTTATTAATATATTATAATACTAACTATTTTTTAAATAATTATTGTATTTGTATTACTATTTGCAGATATTTTTAATTTTAATATTATTTATTAATATCATCAAGTTATTATTTATTTATTTATTTATTTATTTTTGCTTATGCTAAGGCTGTAGTTATTAGTAGCTATTGCCTTTATTGTATTTTAATTATAATTATATAATTTGTACAAGATGAGTATACAACTAGCCACATATACAACTTTTGGTTATCTATTTTAAGTAGTCTGTTCATATAACAGGTTTTATACTAGCTGCTATATCTGCAATCTACTAGAAAATTACCTATTTAAATATTCTAATTTCTATACTTATACTAACAAAAAGCACACAAGTTCCCATATACCTAAATGCTATCTAACCTAACTGTGACCTTCTTGTCTGTACATCTATCAAGGCATTACATATTTCAGAGTACATTACCAGACTGTAGGGCTTCAGAAGGCCCTTTGCTAACTAACTACTCACATTTAGTATCTTGTTAACAGAGCTCATCTTTGCAAAGTTCATTCAAACCCTAGCATCAACTTCATAGCATATCTCTAGTACTTATAATATATCTCTGTTTTTGATCTCAGACTCCCAATCCAGATAGCCTGATAGGACTATGACCTGTTTCTGATACTTCAGAGTCTGCTTCTCAAGGTTCTTTTCCTCTAGTTAGAGACTTCTGATGGCCTGGTTGGTAGTACCTCTCACCTGAGATTCTTGTCTGCCTGATTTCTTTTACATTAGTATCTGTTTTCTAGGTCTAGTCTTTATAGTAGTACTGTTGAAGATCTGTGCTACCTCTCTACTCGGATCTTCCCAAGTGGGCTTCAGTTTTCCAGTTCACAGATTTACACAACTATAAGGACTTATCTTGGATTTGCACTACCCAATGCCGATTTGCATTTCTTTGTATAACTCCAATATTGCGCAGATGCCTTATGACCTGTCAGTTATCTGATGTGACTGTGTTACAAGTACTAATCCCAACTGATCAACAGAATGCTGTTGCTGTAATACCACTTACCTTCTATAATACTGATATAACATAAGTAGTTTTTCAAATTTTCACTATTGGTGGGTTTTGAACCTCCAATCTACTACTTGGGAGATTAAAAACTTAACTACTTCACTAAGTTGCCATACCCCTAAGTTATTATTTATTAGAGTTAATATTATAATATTATTTTACTATAGTTTGGAACACCTAAAGGCAGAAATCACATGACTTTGTTCCATTTTGTCCTAAAATTTAAAAATGTTTCAAATCACACAAAAAATCAATTTTCGCTTAAACAAAACCAAGTCACATAACCTAGTATAATTTAAACTAGGTTCATTTTTCTTATAAAAAATGAAACTGACTCCAAACTTCTAAAAGTGTCACAGCTCTAAAAAGTTTTTGAATTTCAAATTAATTTTTCACTGTGGTAAACTTAATTAACTATGTTTAGTTTGCCATAGTGAACTTAAGTATTTCCTCTAAATTTTAATTTTGCATCATCCATTGATTTATTGCAGATTTGCATAATTTTGTGACCCCTATGATTAATTTTCTTGATGATCAATCATGATTGAACCAGCTGGCTTTAGCAATCATGATCACAATTATAATTATTTAATCATCAAGAAAATTTATCATAGGGGTCACAAAATTATGCAAACCATAGCAATTTATACAATTTATCTATTTAATTGTTTTTTTAATTATATTAATTTATTTATTGCATTTTTGCACTTTGCAAAATTGTGTGACTATTATCATTATGATTAAATAATTGTAATTGTGATTACAATTATTAAAGTCGACCAATCTGAGTGTATTGATTCAATATTTATGATAAATTAGTCAGCTTTAGCAATTACAACTACAATCACAATTATTTAATCATAGAGGTTACCCAATTTTGCAAAGCATAATCATATTTTTTTAAAACATTAAGTATTATTTATTTATTCCTTTTTTTTTTAATCACACTAATTTTATTTATTAATCTATTTCTTTATTTTCTTGTACAAATAAAGCCAATTCATTTTCAAAAACTTTTCTGTGAAATTTAAATTTCTTGCATGCATATTTGCTAATTTTCCCATCAATACTCTACAGTATAACTCCATATACCTTTATGATTTTCAAGTGAACTTCCTAAACATAATGACATTTACTGAATCAAAAGCTTTTAGAACTATTTCTTGCAAGCCTGTCCATATATAATTGCAGTAATCTCTTGCATATCTCTTAGCCACCCCTCAATACATTTCAATAAAATTAAGTTCATAATGAAACTTCAGATAAAAAATACAAATATGGCCAGCATCTTCAATTAATTCTACAATAGCAAACTTCTGGGCAACAAAGTCTGGTTGAGAGACTATAATTTTTCTTAAGCAACAATTAATTTGATCTGAATTCATCTTTTGTTTACACATTAAGCAGTCTAAATTTAACCTATCTTTTAAAAGTTCTCTTTCTTCTAATACATGTTTAATTTCTTTTGGCTTTCCTCTCATATTAGAGTCAAAGTAATTCTGCTCGAATACTATTTCTTGTACTTTTACTTGGCTATTAATATCAATAAAAGTTGTTAGTCTCATTATACTTTGTTTTCTTCTGAAACCTTTATTTATTTTTTGCACTATAAGAGTATCATCTGAAATGCCACATGATTCATACTGTTATCGAAGGCGAAAACAGCTGTTGCATCAAGAAATTTTGCCTCAAAAATAGGGATGGTGTTTTCTTTAATTTGTTTTAACAAATGTTTGATTGTCCAATAACTTTCCTCATTTTTACTAAGTTTAAGATAACAGCATGCTTCTGCAAGAATGTTAGGATGGCTTTTTTTTCATTCTTATTTAATCATAGCCTTCTATACATCTCTAACACAAATTCACTCACTATGATCAATTTATCATTCTCTTTCTTATGCAAAGGCATCATCACATTGCACACTCAGATTCTTCTTTTCCCATTATTTGCATAAAAAATATACTTATTTTGAGTGACAAAAATCAGTTCTCGTTCGTCTATTCCAAGTACTGGTGGAATCAGTTCTATTTTTTCTTCTTTGTATATTGCCATTTGTCATTCTAATATTTTTATTTTCTCTAAAAACCTATTCCAATAGTCGACAATGTCTCTTCTTTCATGTCCATCAAAGTACATACCCTTCTGGTATTTTTTAAATTGATATCCTAAAACCATTAACTATCTTCTAGCCATTCTCAGACTAATTGCCTTTCTGGTCCTCTTTGTATATTCAGGTAAAATCGAAAAATTCACATATTGTTTAAATTTGGATGGACTAACACCATTTACATCTAATTCTTCTCATATCCATTGCCTACATTTTAATGCTATGTCTTTATTGTCAACTAATCATTTGCATTTTTGATGTCTGCCATAGTAAGAAAATGAAAACGATTCATGACACAAATAAAAATCACTAAGAAAGTGGATTTTTTTGTATTTATATAGATTCAGATTAATATAAACTATTCTTGCTACATTCTTGCTAGCTTTTAACTTTTCATAACCATTGTATAACCTTGTAAAATATTTATAAACAGCCCATCATTCATTATATTCAAAAGCATTAAATATTTTTTCATTTTTCAAAAGATCTTCTTGAAGTTAGGCAATTACATCACCAAGCTCATAACTGGCTTCTTTACAATCATTATTACTTTCACCATTATCACTACATGCTGACCATAATGCTGAATGTATTGGTAATATGGATGAAGGCCCAAAAAAACTAATAATTTTTTAAGTTCCTTTAGCAGCACTAGTAAGTGTTCTGGAAACACCAAACTTACAATAATAGGTGAATTTGGGCATACCTCTTACTGCCCTTATTTCTTTTTTTTCATCCATGTGAGAGGTATAGTAAGTAATTGTATTCGTGTTCCTTCTTCCTTATCAATTATTCCTTTAGTTTTCTCCTCCTAATCACTTTCTTTCTCTGAATCACTTTTTTTCTTTGAATAGCTTTCTTTCTCTAAATAGATTTTCTTACCATTATTCTCATCCTTTTCATCTAACATATTCGCTTTCTTCTGCCTTTTCTGTGCTACTTTCTTTCTTTTATTGTTGTATTTTCAAAGCTGGGCATACTTTTTTCTCTTGGCCATATTAAAACCTCTTGAATACTTTTTTTTTTTTTTTTTTTCTCTTTTTTTTAAAGAGGATGAAATTCAGTAAATTTTATAACAATAACATTAAATGGCACTTAATTTTATATTAAGTAGTTTTCCAATGACCATGCCACTACCACAAATTACTATTCAAATATTTTATCTTACATTTTGTTTCATGCCCTGTTTTTATTTGTGCCTTGTTTTGTCTTGTTTTTATTTTGTCTTGGCCTAATTATAGTACTAATTTGCTTCTTGTTCAGGTTTAATCAAGTCTATTCAGTAAGATTTTTTGTTTTGTGTGCATCTTATGCATGATTATTAATAAAATGAACCAATAATATATAAGTTGACTAAGCACATGACCAGTTATTAGCCAATCAAATATAAAAAAAAATGTAATTAAAAAATTACAAGTCATGTTATTTGTTCTATTTTCTGTTAATTATATAAAAATACTATTTATTCAGACTGATATATCTTGATAATGAGTGAGTAATTAATTAAAAAAGGGCCACCAGTTTGTAGTACATTGGTTTGGCTACAAAATAGCAGCCTATTTTGGATTGTATCACAATTGCAAAATTTTAGATTATATTTTAAAAATATTCAAGTTTTAGATTTGCCTTTAGATGTCCTGCATCATATTATTTACTAAAGTATAGCGTTTTTCTAGTTTGCCTAAATGTTGCAAATTATTAATTTTTTTTTTTTTAACTTTAACAGTCACACTAGTATTTTATTTTATTTTTTTTTTTTGGAGTTAAGGTGAGGTCATGCCTCAGGTCTGTTTATTCGAACATATTGTTATAGTTTGTACAACTT